TATAAATTTGTATCGTACCTTTCTACTTGTAAAAAGCCCTCTGGTTTGTCGGACTGAAAAGGTTTATTTCCTCCTTTGCCTTGGAGAAAAATGAAAGCAATTACTTCTGAAAGTCCCAATTTTATTTTTAGCATATGTATTTTCACCAAGTGTGTTTACATATTTACAGCTGTCATACAGATAGATGTATAATTTCTGGACATTACTGCTTAAAACCCTATTAAATTATTGCAATTTTTTTGGTAAATAAACTTTAATGAAACATATATTTCTTTTTTAAAAGATAAAAAATAATGGAGCTCTTTATAACAATCACATAATTGTATTCAATGTATATCATAATATATGCAAGTAAATAGTAAATACAGTTAATAAATTACACACAAACATACCTTTGGCTTCACTCTTTTCATCTTTTCTATCCATTTCCACACCTCAGCTATGTTGCAAAGAAACAAAAATAGGACAAGTAAACGTCATGCTCAAATTAAAATGTAGCATACTTTATCCTGATTAAAAAAAAGTAATCACAAAATGTATTTATTCATTTAACAGGTTATTTCTGTATTTATAAGATGTCTTTCTACTTGTAAAAAGCCCTCTGGTTTGTCGGACTGAATAGGTTTATTTCCTCCTTTGCCTTGGAGAAAAATGAAAGCAATTACTTCTGAAAGTCCCAATGTTATTTTTAGCATATGTATTTTCACCAAGTGTGTTTACATATTTACAGCTGTCATACAGATAGATGTATAATTTCTGGACATTACTGCTTAAAACCCTATTAAATTATTGCAATTTTTTTGGTAAATAAACTTTAATGAAACATATATTTCTTTTTTAAAAGATAAAAAATAATGGAGCTCTTTATAACAATCACATAATTGTATTCAATGTATATCATAATATATGCAAGTAAATAGTAAATACAGTTAATAAATTACACACAAACATACCTTTGGCTTCACTCTTTTCATCTTTTCTATCCATTTCCACACCTCAGCTATGTTGCAAAGAAACAAAAATAGGACAAGTAAACGTCATGCTCAAATTAAAATGTAGCATACTTTATCCTGATTAAAAAAAAGTAATCACAAAATGTATTTATTCATTTAACAGGTTATTTCTGTATTTATAAGATGTCAAAGTATGACTAACACCAGCATGGATTTATTTACTAAATAGGCGATTAGGATGATACTGATATGAGTAGTTTGCTAAACAAATGGACCTGTCAGTCATAGCCATTAATCATCTGACACTCAGTGTGCATCTCAGCAAAACATAGTTTATTAATTATTGAGTGATTTAATAATCACTTGTATGTCTCTTTTCCATTTCTCATTAAAATGTGAAAATTATATTATGACACTTTATTTTATTATATTACATTATGTAAGATTAACTGCCTTTTTGGTTCATTTATGTGGTTTTTGAGAAATACAACCTAAAGAGAAACTCCGACAAAAGAAGAAGCCTGAGCAACAGTAATACACTAGACTGCGTGTCTTATTGCTGTCATGCATGTGTTCATGGCTGTTAAATGTCCCATCTTATGCATGTGTTCATGGCTGTTAAATGTCCCATCTTATGCATGTGTTCGTGGCTGTTAAATGTCCCATCTTGCACATGTGCAGCATATGTCAACAACACCTTGACTATCACAGCTCTAAACCTCACAAAACACTGCGATTAAGTCACTAAAGCCTTTTAAAACCATATATATCATTTCCAAACCACGACATAAGTAATCTCAACAAAAAAAGATATCGTTTTCTTTGACTCACCCCCACGTTACGCTCCAGACCGTCCTCACGCTTCTATCAGACGGAGAAGTGCGATGGCAGGTCGCATCATTCTCCACTCTCATTGGACGACTGGCTGTCACAGGTCACGTGGACTGGCCAATCAGAGTAGCGCCTGTGTATCGTGAGACGTCATTGGCTGCGACACTCTCAGAAGAGCGCTTGTTGCAGTGCGTACTGTGTAGCGTACTAGACTGTATAAAAACAGGAGCGTACTCGTACAGAGTACATTATATCTACAGATAATGTTTAAATACGAGACCGTTCTCAAATTAATTTAATGAACTGTCATTTTATAAACTCTTTAGCTTTAATTAAATGAGTTTTGCTTTCAAAAAACGCTAATACAATGATTATACAGTTATTTAGTGTACTGATGTCATGTAAAGCGGTGCACTAATTCTTTACTGACGAGAACGGAATGGTTCAGTAGAACTGCGGGATCCTTATCCTTTCTTCTAAAAAAAAGGAAAGTAAATGTCAAATTTGCTCCTGCTCTTGCTCCGCGTTTCTCTCTGCTGAACAAGACTGTGTTTTGGCTTCTCTGGTGACTTCGGCACCATGGGGACAGACTGCTTGCTTTTCCCCGAAGTAAAAACACTGCATAGCGACCTTCATGTCTTTAGAACGCATAACTCATTATCATAGATTATGTAAAGTTGTCATATATATATATATATATACATCTATCATCTATCTATCCATCCATCTATCATCTATTTATCCATCTATCTATCCATCCATCTATCATCTATCTATCTATCTATCTATCTATCTATCTATCTATCTATCTATCTATCTATCTATCTATCTATC